CAGATGGCAGGAACAATTTAAGAATACAAATCAAACTGGTAATTGGGAAATTTTAAAATGTGCAGAGAATTTCTCTCTATATAAAAGATTCATTTAAAATTTATTTCAAAAGGCTCCCCTGGTGGCGCAGTGGTTGAGAGTCCGCCTGCCGATGCAGGGGACGCGGGTTCGTGCCCCGGTCTGGGAGGATCCCACGTACCGCGGGGCGGCTGGGCCCGTGAGCCGTGGCCGCTGAGCCTGCGCGTCCGGAGCCTGTGCTCCGCAATGGGAGAGGCCACGGCGGTGAGGGGCCCGCGTACCGCAAAAAAAAAATTTATTTCAGGGAATTTTTATTACATTCAGTGGCTCAGCCGACATATTTGGTTTTTATAACTTTGCAATAGGTGGCAAAAACAAAAAGAAATGAGGACATCATGGATCACCATCATACTAGAACATAGATTTGTTATCAAACTGTGTTATAAAGATTTCTTGAACCTAAGAGCTACAACTCTGAAATTTTTTCTGAAAATACACCATATTTTATGTTCTTTATATACTCGCAAGGTTGACATTAGCTAATTGCATAGTTGAAAATGGTAATTACCTGGTAACTATTTATCACTATTATTGTATCTCATGAAAGCCTAGGATTGCAATTAGCTCTCTGTTCATTACCATGTCACTTGTAATGGTAAAGTATTTGCATAATGTACATTCTATGGTACTCTTTTCTTCCCTCTGAAATTCAGATAGCATTTTACTTTAGCAACAAATCTTTTAGACTTCTACGTCAAGATGAAGGACAGTTTACTTGCACTTGTCTTCTGCCCCGCAATTATCCTTGATGGGTGAGGTAAATACTCATAGTGCAGTGCTTATCCCAAAGGTTTAAGTCAGAATTGTGGAAAAAGAACCCGTGTATTCTTTTTGAGGTTTCTATAACAGAGATCTACTGAAATGTTACTAGAGAAGTATAAAAATTAGACTAATCATCTCAGTGTCATTGAGCAATCAATGGATGTTAGGGTACTGAATTGGTGGTCAGAAGAAATGAGTTTGAGATTCCAACTTTATATTTGCTGAATTATGATAATCATTTAACATCTTTGTGCCTCACTTTCCTTGAATTTATAAACAGAGATAATAGCTCCTCTGTCTTCTTCATAGAATTGTTATTAGAATGAAAATAAGTTGATATACATGAAAAACCTTTACAATCCCTCCCAAGGAATATGCAAATGTTTGTCACTAGAGGAAGGTCTTTTTTATTTCTCATACATATTAAAATTTACAGGGGGAGGAATAAATTGGGAGATTGGGATTGACATATACACACTACTATATATAAAATAGGTAACTAATAAGGGTCTACTGTATAGCACAGGGAACACTACTCAATACTCTGTAATGACCTATATGGGAAAAGAATCTAAAAAAGAGTGGATATATGTATATGCATAACTGATTCACTTTGCTGTACACCTGAAACTAATACAACATTGTAAATCAACTATACTCCAATAAAAATGAAAAAAAAAGACCTAAGGTTCAAATAATAATTATTTCCTAAAGGGTCTCAGTTCTGTCATACAATAAACAATGGATTTATAAAGATTAAAAAATTCACAGTAAACTATAACAAAAAGCTCATTTAGGGTGTTTAAGAAATCACTATGAAACTAGATTAATTTCTTAATAGAAATAAGAAAATGCCTATAGGGTCTGCTTGAAAAATCATTTTATTGATTTTCACACAAATGAACTATTTAGATGTAAATGTCAAAGCAAATCTCCACAGAATCTGCAGGATATCGAGATTTAGTAATCAAGTCAAGCCCTCCTTTTGTTATTTAGCTTCCAGAGACCAGTATGGTCCTTTCTCTTCTTTATTTAGGTACGGAAGAAACAGAAGTCATACCTCTCATGAATATTCGCTGCTATCATCAATGCAGTAATGCTGTGGACAGGTTGGATTGACCCTTAGGTTTGGAATTTTTCTACCCCAGGGCCTGGTTTGACTTGTAGTTTTGAAGTCTTGATCAGCTTATCTGCAAGTTGCCTTTGCCACAGAGAAACAGATTCATGTACAGAGAGACTGATAATGCACCCTAAATCCATTTGCCAATTTACAGTAAGAAATATCATAAACTTATCTTCATAATAACACTAATGCATTACTTTGCTTTATAGTTCCTAACCTTCGAATTCATTAGCTCATTTTGGAACCTCATCACATAACGACTTTTGAACAGAATGATCTCATTTGTTTATTTTTTTGTTTTGTTTTGTTTTCTGTTTTTAAACGAAGGGGCAATCTTGTTTTTAAAAATTATTTTTGACTGCATTGGGTCTTCATTGTTGCGTGCTGGCTTTCTCTAGTTGTGGCGAGCAGGGGCTACTCTTCATTGGGGTGCGCGGGCTTCTCATCGCGGTGGCTTCTTGTTGCAGAGCAAGGGCTCTAGGCGCGTGGGCTTCAGTAGTTGCAGCTTGCGGGCTCAGTAGTGTGGCTCACAGGCTCTAGAGTGCAGGCTCAGTAGTTGTGGCTTAGTTGGCTTAGTTGTGGCTTAGCACATGGGCTTAGTTTTTCCGCGGCATGTGGGATCTTCCCGGACCAGGGGCTCGACCCCATGTACCCTGCATTGGCAGGCGGATTCTTAACCACTGTGCCACCTGGAAAGTCCCGATCTTATTTATTTCTAAACTGCTTATTTTCTCTATTTACCAGGTGGAAAATACCAAAAAGTGCAAAGTAGAACAGGAGACCATATCTTAGTTGTCAAAAATAACACGCTGTTAACAATTCTTCACATTTCCTTCCTTTTCTATGCCTATGTATATAATTGAGATCATATTGTACATGCCATTTAAATGTCAAAGTTTTCTTTTTTTTTCTGGTTAAGATGGCAATCTATGACTTTTGCAAAAACTTTGGAAAAGTTGTAGAAAACAGATAAAAGCTCAAATCAGAAAATGAAAAACAGAAAACATACAGTTTATTACTGTAGTTAACCATCGTTAACATCTTGGTGTACTTCCTTCCAGTGTTTTACTCCTTTTAATTTAATTTAATTTTTTTTTAAAACTTAGTCGTGATCACTCCAAAGCAGGAGTGTTTGGGGAGACAGCCTCTGGCTGGGCTGGGAATCAGGCAGCCTCTATTCTCGAGTCTAGTGAACTGGAAGCTGCAGATCAGCACTCTTCTTCCTGGACAGGGGTAGCAAGAGTGAATATTTTCCTTTAAAGCTCACTTATTTCCGTATTCTAAGCTGATTTGTACATTCTTCTCTTTTTCCCCCAACATCTTCAAGGCCACCGACACCTGCCCCATGCTTCAACAAGTTATCCTTGATGGCTTCTGGAAGCCCATTTACTTCTGCTTAACTAAAGACTCCTGCCCCCATTTCACCTTCTCCTGCGGTGACTGAGGAGGTGGTAGGAGGCCGGTAGTTCGAAGCTTCAAAGGGACCTGCAAACCTGAACAGCGGAGTCGGAGCCCTAGCCCCGCCGCAGGGTCAGGAGCGCCCGGGGGCTCCACTAGGAAGCTCCGTGTCTCTCTATGGAAGGGTTGCGACCCGGGAAAGCCTTCGTGGCTATGTCCCCGCTCCAGGGGCGTGTAGCTCGCAGAGAGGCCAGCCCAGCCTCATCGCTCCCGAGGTTATCATCAGAGCGCACTTCCACGTGGCTCTGAGTCCTCACATCCCGCTGCCCTCGGGAGGCCTTTTCTCGTCGCGAGGTTTTTTGGCCCGACGCTCGCTCTCAGCCTCTCGGGAGATTCCGGCAGGCCTCTGTCCCAGAAAACCAAAGGTCCGAGCTCTCTGCCTCGCTTTGCGAGCCAGGAGAAGTGCGTCCCTTCTCGCTTGCCTTATGCCGGGCGAGGCGGAGACCGCACTACCGTGCCGCCAGCCGGAGGGGGGGACGCTCACGTGTGGCCCTCTGTTTTCCAGCCGGTAGCAGTGGATCCCGCGAAACCACCGGTCAGCCTACCAGGGTCAGTATTATATTGTCCTGAGAGCTCGCACAAGAGGCAGACAAGACCATCCACTCGAGCTCGGCTGCAGACGCGCCCCTTCCCTCCCCCCTCGGTTCGTCCGGACCGCCCGCAGTTGCAAGCGCGCCAGCCGCCGCCGATTTGCCTCGGCCTTTGACAGCTCGGCCCGAGCACCTCCGGGCCTCGAGTCCCGGCTCAAGGGGCGGGGCGAGGCGGGGCGAGCGAGCGCTGGGCGGGGCGAGTGCGAGCGGCGGCGCTAGGAGGGAGCGCCCGAGCCCCGCAGAGCCGAGAGGAGCGGAGCAGGGAGGTGCTTCGGAGAGGCTGGCAGAGCCCGGCCGGCCGCCTGCGGCTCCGCGCCGATCGTGCTGCGTCCCCGGGCTCCGCGCACCCCCGCCTCTGCCCAGGCTCCCGCAAAACTTTTATTCTCTGGGGCCCCCTGCGTGTCTGAAGGACTCGGAGAGCTCGGCCAGCTCTGCGCTCCCCTGCGGCGGCGACCAAGGGGACGTGCATCACTCACCCGCGGGGCTCTAGCGCCTCGCGCCTCTTCACCTGCCGATCTCTCCCCGGAGCAGCGAGGGGGCACCCGCGGAGGCGCCGCGGGGGCGCCAGCGCCCCGGAACTCTCCCGCCCACCGCGACAGACCCGCCCGGCGCAACTTTAACTTGATTTCTCTCGTCCAGCCCCGGCACCCGCGACTGCTGCTGCCACCGCCGGCGTCTCGGCAGCCGCCGCCTCACAAAGGGGCGTAGGGAGGGGAGGCGGCGCGGGCGGCTGGCTAGACGTCGGTGTGCTGGGCGCGGGCCTCCGGGCCGCAGAGGCCGGGAGACAAAAGGGAAACTGCCTCTGTTCACCGTGCGGGCTCGGAGCTGCCTGCTTGTCCATCTCCCGCCCGACTCCGTGAGCCTCCTCCCCCTAACCCTCGGCTGCTGCTCCGCCTCCCTCCCCGCGGGCTTTCCCCGCAGTGCTCCGGGACCCGGCGAGCTTTCGGGGCGCGCGTCGCTGCTGGTGGTTGGGGCTCTAGCGATAATAAATGATAGAGGATACAATGACTTTGCTGTCTCTACTGGGTCGCATCATGCGCTACTTCTTGCTGAGACCTGAGA